GGCGCCCTGGAGGACCCGGGAGCGGCCCCACGCGCCCCGCCTCGCGGCCCCGGCCCCGCCTCGCGCCCCAGGCCGGCCCTGGCCCTTCCCGAGGACGAGCTTTCCGAGGCCGAGAGTTCCTGCAGCGAGCCCGACGCGCCAGGCACGCCCGAGGCCCCCGGGGAGCCGGGTGAGGGCGGCGCGGAGGCCGCGGGGGGCCCTGGGGCGCGCCCCTCGACCGTGGCGGCCTTTTCGTGGCGGCGGAGGCCGGTGGCCCCCGCGGCCAAGCGGCACCAGTGCGCGTTCGCGGGCTGCGGCAAGGCCTACTACAAGTCCTCGCACCTCAAGTCGCACCAGCGCACCCACACGGGGGAGCGCCCCTTCTCCTGCGACTGGCTCGACTGCGACAGGAAGTTCACGCGCTCCGACGAGCTGGCGCGCCACTACCGCACGCACACCGGCGAGAAGCGTTTCTCCTGCCCGCTGTGCCCCAAGCAGTTCTCCCGCAGCGACCACCTCACCAAGCACGCCCGGCGCCACCCGACCTACCGCCCCGACATGGTGGAGTACCGCGGGCGCCGCCGTGCTCCGCGCCCCGAGCCATCCCCTGCCGCTGCCGCCGCTGCCCCCGCGGCCGATGGCTCCGGCTCCGGCTCCGACTCCGGCTCCGGCCAGGAAACCAGCTTCACCGCTTGCCTGTAGGACTGTCGTGGCGTCTGTCCAGGTTCCCCTCAAGCACAGCCCCCCCCCCCCCCCGCCGCCCCAAGCCCTCGTCCTCGCCTTCTCTGCGTCCATCCCTGTTTTCCAGGGTCGTCAGACCGAGGCACAGACTGGTTGCTCCGCTCTGGGGATGGGTCCACACAGACCTGTCGGACTCTGGAGAGGGACAGTGCAAAGCCTTGCATCTGAACACCACCCGAAAGGAACGGGTTCTCTTCAAAACAGCCTGCAGTGAGAAGGAACGAACTCCTCCGCGAACTGAAGACTCTTCTCTCCACCGCACCAGAGACTGAACTCTCGGACGCCCGAGCATCTACCAGCCCCGAGGGACTCAGCCGTGTGGCCGGGTGGAGCTTGAACAGGGGGCCCAGAGTGGCAGTCTGGGAAGTGTCTGGACTTGGATGATGAGGCCTTGGGAAACAGAAATGATTTCTGTAAACAGCAGTGTTTACTAATTTATCGTTCGTTTCTTTTAGACAAGAATTCCAGGTTGGTGGGAAGCTGCTGTCTCCCGCCCTCCCAGTCGCGCCAGCGACCTCTGCTTTGTGGACGTCTGGCTGGGAAATGCTTTTTGGTGCCTGGGGAGTGGTATGAGCCTGCTTGCGGTTCCCATAGCACAATTTGGAACCTGCGCTGGAGTTGGAGCCCTCCTCTTTTTAAAAATTCCTTCTCAGGGGTGGTAACTTTCTGGCTCACGATTAGGAGGCTGGTTAAGTAATTCGAGAAGAGCACCAGAGAGCAAAGGCTGGTTGAAATAGTTTATCCTTCACCTAGAAGACAAGCCCAAGTAAGCTTTGGGTGGGACAGGTGGAAACAAGACTTTTCGCAACCGCTGATAGCTGTTCAGAGAGGCGGGGAGATGATAGCTGTTCAGAGAGGCGGGGAGATGGCGGTCCTGCTGCGCCCCCCTACCTAAAGTCCCCTTCGCCGCTAAGGAGGAGTTAATCCCCGTGAAGATTTGCACATTGTTGTTTCTGTAACAGATGAGTTGTTTGTGAGAGAAAAAAGGTGCGAGTTGTTGTTGTTGTTGTTTGAGAGCTGCTCTCCTGGATTTGGGGAAGGAGCACTACATAATAGCTGTTATCAAATAGGAGCATCTTTCTCTAGCAACAGAGTCTTGTTACAACCTCAGGGCCTTTCTGCCCCTTGAAGGAATCAGTATCAGAAGTGTTCTTCTGTTGTGAGTCCCAGCTACTGTGGATTGATATCACTGGTGTGTGCGTGTGTGTGCGTGTGTGTGTGTGTGTGTTTGTGCGCGCGCCTTTCGTTAGCTTCGAAGCTGAAAGGCCTTTTCCTATCCTGATGTGGCCCCCCCCACGGTCCTCCTGGATATCTTACACTGCCCTGTCAGTTACACTTGTAAAGGATGTTGTAATCTCGTGGGATCGTAAGAGGCACTCAATTAAGCAAACTGCTTCCTGTTTTATAGATTAAAATGCTGAAGCTTAAATTATCGCAAATGTTACATGCTATGTTTCTGCAAGAGCTGTGAGTAAAAGTGTTTGACTTTTAAATGTCTTTCCTTCGTGCTAGAGTCCTCATTTTCTCACTCCCCGGGGCCTTTGACAAAAGGTGGGACCATACCTTCTTGTCACCATGACCCTCTGTCGTCTTGTTCTCTACTGCTTCGATAAATCCTTAAATGTCCACGGGTTACCCGAGTCCTTTAGCTGATGTCTTTAATACCCAAACCCTTTTCTTAAGAGGTTAGTAAGTCGATTCTCGTGGCCACACCCTGTGGTCTTGAACTGAGACACTTTTCTTTGGGGCTGAAATTTCTCTTTCTTTCTTTCTTTGGGGCTGCCATTTCTCTTCTTTTTCTGGGCATTCAGGTATCCTTGAGAGAATAAATGATACAAACATGGCATGGGAATGCTAAGAGATTCTCGTAAGCTATTTGAGGGAGGGACCCTTGGCCCAAAGAAGGTACCTGTAATCCCCAAGAGGTTCAGCGTTTTTAGGATGTGAAGAGTAGGAAGGATGGCCCCTGAATTGAACATAGGAAGAGGAGACCCCTAACTTTAAAAGTTTTTTTTTTTAAGCTGGAAAAAGGGCTCCTTTTGCTTGTCTGTTTCCTCATGTGAGGCTAGATAGTTCAGGTACTGTGGGGTCCACTCAAGGAAGGTTTTCTCCTTGTCCCTTTCAGTAGAATGTCTACCATTGGGTAAGTGAACTAAACTAACAGGCACTCCTATTAACGACTCAGGAATTAAGTCTTAAAAATACTGAGATTTCCAAGTAATAAATAACTTTTGACTTTCAAGGTCTCCAATAATGTCCACAGTAGGCTTCTAGCCTGGGTGCTTTTGTTTGAGAATGCCCCCAGACACCCTGCTCTTACCAGGTCTTACTTAGAGTGCTAAACACAGAGACATTCAGAACTCCACAGTGGACAGATGAAAGAGTCAAGTTTTTTGTTGGTTTTTTTAATGGTCTTTCTTGGTCTGAGTATTTCTTTGCACTTTAGCAGTTTGTAAGGAATAGTTATTAGTGAGTTGCCTTAGAAGAACATTTTGAACCCCTTGGTATCTCTTTTCCTACTTTTTATTAAGTAGCTCAGGCTCAGTGAGGGAATGTATCTGGGAGTTGGTTGGATTTGGCTGCAGCTCTGTGTTCATACCCCATGCTCTTCTCCGATCTGGTAGAGGAATAAAACACCTATTAATAGAAATTGTCTTAAACTCTGGGTTGGAAGCTGAGAGTTAATCCCAGGTCAGACCTTGGGTGTGAGATGATGATGATGATGATGATGATGATTATTATTATTATTTATTCCCTTTCTTGCTCAGAGGAGGTGAGGGAACAGTCTGGTTTATAGAGGCCATGATCTGCTCTTTGTCCCTAGTCCTCTGTTCTTTTACAAGCAAGAAGCCATTTTGGAATATTCCCCTTTGCCTTGTCTATCACTCACTTCTCCCATAAGAAAACTACCGCATTCTTTAACAGGAACATAATCTGGCCATTGTGCACACACACTCTGCCCCCCCCCCCGCCTCTTCTGCAACCCACCAGCTTTGGTGTGACCTATACAGCTCCTGCTGCCACATGGTCTTCACACTGGCTGAGATCCAGGTTGGCCTTTCAGAGGCTGAAGACATCATGGCCTGTGCCGCCTTCAGGTAAGAGTTTCCTTTGGTGGATCACCCCACGTCTAAGAGCTGAGTGATGTTGGGGAGACAGAACACTAGTAAGCCCCTGTTTCATCACAGTACGGCCCTATCAGCAAAGTACTGATATTCTGGTATTTTTATTTTTGTATCTATTACTCATTTGGTTGAAAAGTTGGAGGAATATATATTTCTCCTTTAATCTCTAGCATATTTAAATGTGCATTTGTTGTTGAACATTGATTATGCAGCCAGGTGTGGTGGCCCACACCTGTGATCCCAGCACTCAGGAGTGAGTTCGAGGCCAGCCTGGTCTACAAAGTGAGTTCTAGGACAGCCAAGGCGACACAGAGAAACCCTGTCTCAAAAAAAAAAATGATTAGGCACACTGGCTGGAGTTAAGGGCCTGAAATAGGATGTTCCATGTGCTAGGACACAGTTTTAATGCTGTAGTTAAATTGAAATTTGCAGTTCTTTGAGTTTTTCAAGTCTAAACAACTTATGCTAGCAAATGCTCACCTTTAAATCATTACTTTTGAAGGACATTGGGGATTAAGGTTTTCCAAAGAGGGCTACCTGAGAGACTGACTGGTCTTGGTTCTCAAAGCGAGTTTGCTGCAGAAAGGGAATGCAGCATACAGCTGAGTGGGCAGCCCTTCGCTGCCTATATTCCCCAACACAATGGGAAGTGGCGACTTAGGTTATAAATTTTACCTATACTTTAGAAAACAAATTTAGAAGCCCTCACCCTGAAACTGTTCCTGAGCTGATCACAAAGCATTAGATTTATTTTCCAAACCTGATTCTTTCTGATTGTGCTCTGAATCGCATCTCTTCATAGAGTGAAAGAAAGATTGATGGGAAGGGCCAAGTCCACGTCCTATGACATAATCTACACAGACATCTTAAGATTGGGAGGGATCAAGTCTCTACTTCACTGAGTAGGTGCACCTTCCACTGTTCCTAGCTGGTGCTGGGTTTTTTTGGCTGTATAAACCCCCAAAATGAAATCTCAGGGAGCTATTCACTTGAAATTCTCTGTATTTAATGTATGATAAAATGATGAATTTTATCATAAATACATGAAAAGAATAGAGTGCACATTATATGGAAGTTTGGGTAAGAATCCCAAAGGCAGAAAAGATATTAAAAAGGGTTGTGTCTAGTTACCGATCATATATGTGTTTAGACCCTGGCTTCAAAAGTAAAGCAGGGAGTGAGTGAAAAACAAATGGAAGTGGTTGTTTACACTAGAAAAAATAGACTTATTCAGAAGAAAGGTTGTAATTTGGGTGATAGTAATTATATAAAAGAAAAATAAAATCAAAAGCTAATACATCTTAAAGACAAGATTATAAAAGAGGGTAACATTGTAGTCATTACTAAATTAGAAGAGACGATTGGAAGGAATGGCAGCAAGTTTTCAGAGAGATTCCTAGTGCCACTGGAGATCTCAAGTTTAAGAAGATGCTGGGAAACAGCTGCCCAAGTCTGCAGAGAAACTAGTGATAATTCATCGTTTGGTCCCGATGCAGGAACGCTAGATGGCTTGAAGAGTGAAGTAGTTAGCTCCTCAAGGGAAAGTAGAAGAAGACAAGACTCAGAAATATGTACAAATAAGTAATCAAATGAATTGAAATAAGGAAAAGGCATGAACATCTGAATAGGCTCCAAAAGAACTGTTTGTTAAAGTCAAAACACCAATTTGTTATTTAACTTACAAGTAAGCTAGTAGCAAATGGTGCTTTCTGAAATTGGTTTAAAAAAAATCTATCAAAGCACTGGGGAGGCAGAAACAGGTGGATCTCTGACTTGAAGCCCAGCCTGGTCTACAGAGTGAGTTCTTGGACAGAGAGAACTACACAGAGAAACCCT